TCAGGCTTTGTATGGGGCTCAGGCTTTATATAGGGCTAAAAGGATTGAGTTTCAGACTTTTCGGCTCAGGGTGTCGGGGTTTATGGCAATCTACATAGCATCGTTGCTGATCCTATGCACCGCAGATGCATGCGCATACTGCATCCCTTGTCGGCGGTGCTCCAGTACATAGAAGCCCTACTTGGTACTGATGATGGACAAAATCCTGCATGGCCTGGTTCCCAAACCCCTAAACGATAAACCTCAGAAGCTGCCCCCACCCTGTAATAGTGACTATAAGGATTATATTAGGGCCCTATTATATTCCTATTATACCACTATTACAGGGTGGGGGCCCCTTCTAAGATAAACCTCTTAAACCCCCAAAAGTAAACCCCCAAACCTTAAACTCCTAAAGCCACGGCCCCATTCCAACTCCCCTAAACCCTAAATCCCTAAACCCCTAAATCGCTAAACCCTGAACCACGAAACTCTTAAGGGTGTTGATGTCATCTAAGATAAAAGCGGACTTTGAAGTAACCAGGGAGAACTTTAATATCATAGGGGTGGCTGTCAAAATTCGGGTCCCTTTTTGGGTCCTCATTATACTACGGCACCTAATATTTAGGCTGCCCACAAAGGGGCCATAATTTGACAACCAGCCATATAGACTTGTGTCTCATAATGGTTCCTTCAGGGAAAAGGTCTCCCAAAACGAGTCTTAAAGTACGGTACTCCATCACCACTTGGAGGGTCTCGGGACTTAGTAACTAGGTAAGAAGAAGAGTTACAAGTACCTTAAAAGGGACCCTATTTGGGGTTATGGTACTTATAACTCTCTAAAACAAGTACTTAGTAAGTCCCCCGACCCTCCAAGTTACAGACCCCTTGTACAGCAGCTCATCGATCCTTTGCGGAACCGCTTGCAAAGCCTGTATAGAATGCCACCAGAACCCATACTACCCTAGTCCCTAGATCCCTACACCCATAAGGAGCTGATGTCTTGTACTCCCGAACCCATACTATAGATTGATAATTGCTCTAGGTTCCCAAGTAATCCCTTTATAACAATAGGTACCCAGTTTGCTGATTCTGTCTCGAATCCACCCAAAGGGTCCTAGGTACTGTTCTGGTGGACATTTTCCCAAACCAGAATAGTATTTCCTGCTATAGAAGCTCTACGTGCTACTATATTATAGGTACTTAGTACTCCAAACCCTAAACTCTCATAGTTCCCTAAAGGGAACCCTTAAAGGAACCCTTATGGTACCCTTAACGGCAGGTACTTGGGAACCCTGACCCTAAACCCCTAAACCCTAAACCCCTAAACCCCCGAACCCTAAACTCCTAAACCCTAAATCAAAGGGGGAAAGGAGGACCCTTAATGGGGACCCCTCCCTGCCCTACAATGGGCTATATAATGGGTATATGATAGCTATTGTAAGGGTATATACCTAGGGGTCCTTATTAAGGGTCCCTCCTTTACACCTTGGACTAAGCCCCCAAACCCTAAACCCTAAATCCCTAAACCCTCAAACCCTAAACCCCCAAACCCCCAAACCCTAAACCCCCAAATCCTAAACCCTCAACCCCTAAACCAGGAAACCCTGCCTCAAGGCCCGGTCTGGGATAGCTGAGACCCAGCTTTTCCAGGGCCGCCTGCATCACGCACGGACAGAAAACGTGCTAACGCAGGTTTTTGGGTTTACCCTAAGGGTCCAGGTATCTCCCTAGGAGGGTCCGGAATCTCCTAGGGAGAGTCCTTGGGTCTGTTTGGGGTGTCAGAAACCCCCAATTTTGAGGGTCCCCAATTTGTTAGGACCCTTAGGGTAGGGACGTAGGGCTTCGGGATCAGGGTTTAGGGCCTTCGGTTTGAGGGGTTAGGGTTTAAGGGATTCGAATTAGGGTTGAGGGACTTAGGGTTGCGGAATTAGGATTTAGGGCTTCGCGCCATTCCCCCGCCACCAGCTGTGCCACTTCTGTCACAAGTCAAGCTGAAGCGATGCAGCATAGGGTTTAGGGTTTAGGGTTTGTGCTTTTTGCCCTCAACATGGAATGCTTCAGGGGCGTCCTAAAGCCTGACATCCAACTCGGATCTTAAACACACCAAGCCTCCCGGAGCCTGAAACAGCGCCAAGGTGCGCAAGGACCAACGTCGAAGCCGCAAACCGCCTAAGCCCGCAGTACCCAGAACTCCTAAAGTCCTAAACCTTAAATCCCTAAAACATCCCAAACCCAACATGCCCTACAGTGGCTCTACACAACCAAAGGACCTAAGCGACTTACTTGCACAGTATCCTAGGGGAGCCAAAGGTTAACATTATGGAACTTTTTGTACCCCAAAAGGTTACAGGTTGCCTACTCGACTACTAAGATAACAAACCCCGAAACCCTCCCTAAACCCCGAAACCCTAAATACCCTAAACCCCGAAACCCTAAATACCCTAAACCCTAAACACCCTTAACCCCGAAACCCTGTGTCGGCCTTTCGTTCTTCGAGCTGCTTGTCCACGTAAATCCG